CGCGGCGCCGCTCAGGCGGCTGCCATGGCAACCGCGCCGTCACTCAGCGCGCGCGCCCAGCTGATCAATGCCTGCAAGGCCCCGGCGGTCCCAGGCTCGCCCTGACCGGGCCTTCAGCCTGCGCGCACCTGCAGTCTCTGCACGTCTTAAGTTTCGAGTGATTTGGGGAAAAGGAAGGAGGACCGCGAAGAAAAGAACAGGAGAAAGGGGGCAGGGGAGTAGGAGATGGGGCGGGGGGAGCCAGGATAGAGAAGAAAGAAATCTTCCGTCGCAAGAGGGGGCGTTAATGTGGCTTAGACGTTGCCAAAGCAAAAGGTTTTGCTTTATTTCATTTGTTTTTGCAACAGAGACATGGAGCTGGCGGGAGGGGAGAAGTGGAGGCGAAGGAGGTCACTGTCTCATCGCAGGGCAAGATTTATTTATTACTCTGAATCTTCTTGGTCCTTGCCTAGATGGCTTTGACTCAAAAAAAAAAAAAAATTCTGTGAAGGACTCCTTTCCGCAACACACGACTCTCCCCTAACCCCACCCCCACCCCCGTCACCTCGCTCTACAGACATTCTTGTAGGAATTCTTAGTGGTTATGCAAAGAGCAATAGACTTATCCAGAACAGCCCCACCCCCAACCCGAGAGAAGGAAGGATGATGCCTTGCTGCCTGCGGTCCTCTGAGCCTTAGCGTGCAGCTCCCGCATCTGCGTGCTGCTCATTTCCGCTACAAAAGCTGCGGTGGGGGGGGGGCGGGTGAGGAGAGCCCCTTCGTAGTTCTGAGTTTTCGCCTGACATCACCAAGAGTCCAGAAACTTGTAAGTCCGCCTGCAGACGCAGACACCTCCTCTGTCCCGGGTTTATCTTCAGGGAAAGCTTCCTTTTAGGAACCAGATGCCAACATTTCCGGATAGTTTATGGCACCCGGATCCCCCAAGGGTGCTCATCCACGGCTGAGAGTGTTAGCGGCAGTTATTCATCCCATGTCTTGCAGAAAAGCTCCCCAATACAATCATCTTCTGCTGGCCCTAAAACCCAAGGGTGAGGTGTGTGTGTGCGGGGCGGGGGGTGGGGGAAGTCCTGCGGGAGGGGTTTGAGGCGCACAACCAGCCGGGACTGTTATCTGGCTTATCCGGGTTTGTAGTGGTTTTCGAGGAAACAGCATCTGGGTTGCATAAGGATTCGAGTTTTTGCTTTACGTGTTTATTTAATACCTTGGCAAGAGGGAGCCCTTATCCTGCAACCAGATAAACCTAATTTGGGTTTAAAAAGGCCTTAGATGAGGGGCGCTAGGACTGAAGGAAAACGAGCAAAGCCACGAAAAGCAAACAAGAGGATGTTTATTTTTCTCTTTGGGGTAATTTTTTTTTTGAAGACTTGCCTAACCTCTTACACTTCGTGTCACATAGAGCTAATAAATGGCATTAGTGAAGCGCCGCTGCTACTACAATGGCTTAGCCTTAGATCGGTCCGCCTGAGCCCTGCCACAATTCTATCCGTAACTCCTTCTAGGATTCCAGCACCGTCCTGTGTTTACCTGAGTATCTCGAGCCCCAGTTTTTTTTTTTTTTTAACTTAAAAAAAAGTTTTGCCAAATCCAGTTGTTTGCCAGCCAGGTTCAAAAGAAAGCTTGGGAAGTTTGGCGGAAGGTTTCGATTTAACTACAGAGCGAGCGCCACAAATATTTTGTTACCAGTACAGTGAAGTGCTCCGATTTGCGGTCACATTTGGCATTCACAAAGGATTTTCCTGGGACTTTTATTCCGGTCACCAAATTAAAAAAAGAAAATCAACTGGACGGAGTGATACGGTCTTGGAAAACAATCTCTGGACGCCTGCGAACTGGCGCGAGCGGGGGCTGGCGTCGCTAAGTCTGCGCCACCGGGAGGC